TGTGTCATAAATAATTTTATAAAATTTTCTGAAGAAAATTTTTGAGAGTCAAAATGTGTTACTGGAAAATACTGGGGAAGTAATTACCCGTAAGTGAAGATGATTATGTATCTCTACGTGAACTTTGCTCTTCTGAGAAAGAGGAACAAGCCTTAACATTAATTTTTCTTTAATATACAAAATGAATTCAGTGCTACCACTGGAATAAAATTATTCTCTGAACTATGGCTGAGATGGTAATTAGATCAAATTCTTAATAATCTTGATATTTCACTGGTAGTTTCAAGGGACTCAGGAGCCCAATTAAGTTCATCAAAAGGTTCAGAGAAATCTATCCTTCACTCGACTGACTCATGCAAACATAAAGCAACAGTTACCTAACCTTCAGTGTTAAGAAAAATCCTGTTTAGAAAAAAGTAGACTAAATATAAATGAGCTTAAAATCTTTATATCAGAATTAATGATAATAATTAGTATCAAACATTTATTAATTGATACTATGTGCCGTTTACCATGTACTAGGCAATGTGCTAAGTGACTTGCATTCTCTCATGTAATCCTTACAATAGTCAAACGAAGTATGTAAAATTTTTTCCATTGACAAATGAGAAAACTAAGGTTTAGAAAAGTAACTTGTCCAAGGTGACAAAGCTCGTAACAAGCAGATCAGAGATTTAAATCAGGAAAGCCCGCTTATTGAAACTGAAAAGACAATCTGGGAGAATTTAATGATGGTGTGAAACACATCAATACTAGAAAAAATCCTTAAGACTAACATGTGGGGAAAATGTAAAGGAATAGGATAAACATTTAAAATAGACTTTTATTCCCTTCAGCAGGTACACAGATTGACCAAAAAAAATAGCAGTGTGAAATACTAAAAAAATATGATGATGTGCAAAAATGTTTATGGTTTTGTGAGGTGTAAGATTAAAATAAAAACAAATGAATAAAAAACAAAAAGATCACTCTATATAGAAGAAATTAAAGGTTGCAGATTAAACAGAATTCAAAATCATAAGGAAATAATGAAAAAATTAATTTAAAGATAATTCTGGACATAGTTCTGTGGATCAGTGGTATTTCTTGGTACAAAAGTTATAATTCACAGAAATTTCAAAGGAAGACATCAATAGTCACAAAACGCAGACGCATTACACCCAAGCAAGTACATACTTTGCAAAGTGTTGGAGATAAAGCCGCTGGCTAAAGGTGATTTTTAAATTAGCAGATGGTGTTCTCTTCAAATCTGCATCTTCATTAAGGGATATCTGTAGAGTATTATCCAAAGCACAGGGATTATCTAAAGTAGGTAGAAGTGGGAGGTTTTTCCATTCTTTTTGAAGAACAATGTATATTTGTCCTTGCAGCTCATCTCAAAGGCAAGGATATGGTCTTGGTTGAGAAATTATTCTTCAATGTCTGTCTGTCACAAACAATTGGATTGATTTCGCTCTTGGTCCCCAGGGTTTATGATTCAATATAGAATGGTCTAACTCTCTTTTAAAGATGGACATGCACAAATGTCTTTTCACAAGTACTCAAGCCAGGACATACCTTCTGGAATATGTTCTGCAGGTTTTCCTTTTCCTAGAATGATGGTGTCCTGTATCTCCTTCCCTACAAACTGCCTTTATCTGCTTTGATCAAGGTTTGTTTGTTTTTTGTCAAGTACTATAATGCTGGTTTCCTAGATATATGCTTCTGGGAATACAACGTGTTCCTTAAGAATGTGGTGTTATGTTCATAATTGACCAACCTGCTCCTATAGGATAATTCAGTGGGAAAAGGTCTCCCACTTCTTCATCAACATCTCACCTTTCAACTCTTCTCAGAATTATTTCTCTCTTCCTTTCTTTCATTTATTCCCTCTCTTACTTTCACTTTGCCATCACCTTTGCTTTTTCTCCAGTGAACTAGTGGTATAGATGTAGATTTTTTCCCGTGTACTGTCAGGTTTTTAGAATTTAGCTCAGGATTTATCCAAATCTCTGGCATATATTCTCTGCAGTCCTTCTAGTAACACGTGCTCTTGGTGTTTATCATCTATTTATTACCATGATCATTCACAAGGGAACTGATAAAATTTCTGAGCAACAAAAACCTTATTCTGAAGGAAAAGGATATGGTGGAATAAAAACAAAACTCAGCAGTATTTACCATTACTAAGGTAACTTTAGCATATATCCATGTACTAGGCTAATAAAAGGGAATAAAAATTTTCAAACGAAAAATTGGTATTTTTTTGTTCATAATGCTCCCCTAAACCATATTTTGCCAGCTCAGAGGGATGGTGTAAACTTAATGAAGGGAACATATATCCTATAAACCTGACAAAGCACGAGCATTTGGGTATGAATGATCAGAAAGGGATGATCTCAGTGCTATAAGGATTATGGAAGCTGGACAAATAATTCACCTCTACATCCATGGAAAAGACAGAATGCAGAAAAGCAGAGAAAAATTAATGTTCTCAAGAGGCTGAAGAGAAATAGTAGAAAGCTTTAATGTGATATTGGAAGAGATAATTAAACCAAAATAATTATTTAAATTGGACAGTGGAATAGTTGAATAATTGAGTCATGAAATAGCACAGCAAAGGAGAGAGAGAGCTCGGAAGAGCTATTGCAACACCAGAATCCTGCCTTCCATTTCTCTACAGGACCATGTAACACTCTTAGCACACCTGGTTTCCCAAGCTTCTGTGCTAGGCTCTGTTCTGATTCTGTTTTTTGGCAGCTCCTTTTTATGGGTTTTCACATAACTATGTCAAATTTCATATTCACAAACTACTCTTGGGCATGATTTCTACCTCTGACTTCTAACAAGAGATTTCATCTACATTTCCAGCCCCATGAGGCCAGCTGATGGCAAGCCCATTCCTTGTTCAGCCTGGTGGGGCCTTGATAAGGGCGTGGAACTGGTTACACAGTAAGCCTGTTCAACGCTATGTTCATAAAGACATAAGCAAGCATGTACTGTGGTTCAGAACAGCTTACTAAGTATATCTAGTGTGAGGCCTAGGATATGTATTTGAAAAGCTTCCTGGGTGATTTATACGTTTACTCCTGGTAAGGAATGAGAGTACTGAAGAGTTATTATACTGAATGACGACTACGCTTTGGAAAAGTACAAACTCAAAGACTCTTCATAGGATAACAAAAACAGTGCTGGCAAATGTAACATTATTCTATGGAACCAGTAGAAACGTAACCTTTCTCTATGTTTCCTAGTCATTATATTGCTGTGTCAGAGAACAGTCTACACAGGGAACAATATTCTGGTGTGATTGGGTACTCTGATACACAAGGAAAGCTGAAATTTGCTCTTTATCTTCCCCCATTTTCTGTCAACTACACAGGGTTGAAGAATTTCACAACATCCCTTACCATACTTTACCTTTTATAAAAAGAGAGATACCTTTTCTTTGACATACTGTATGTGCTATAGATTGAAATGAATTAATTTTTAAGTCTTTTTGGCATCCTGGATAAAAAACTTAAGAGAAAAAGAAATACTCTTTTACGGATTCCATTATATAACACATGCAAATCAAACTAAGGCTCAAATCATACAGAATCGTGGTTCTCAATCCTAGGGTAGGGGAAAGAGAAACACATAACTTTATCTTTCTTGGGTATACTTAATCTTGCATTTGATTAGTCTGATCATTTCATATTTTCAAAACGAAAATTGGCTGGCTATCTAACGTCAAGAATAAAATGAAAAACTGGAGACTTGACCTGCCTTTCTTATTACTCTTATTGCCCTTAAAACTAACATTTTAAAAAAATCCATTTATACTGCAGGTAGGCTTTAAGGCTGATGATCTCACAGCTCAGATCTGTTACACGTATTTCTTCCATTCCTTTAGTATATTTATTTTTTAATGGGTGTGGAAAGAAGAGAATTGGAAGTGTGTCTCTGTCCATATGAGAAAACAGAGAGGTGGGGTTGAAGAGTCTTATTCTTCTGTTATAACCACATAATCAGATCTCCCTGTTATGGGATTAGTTTTGTCTCCCAGATAAAGCTATATATAGTTGCCATAATTTATGTAGAAACATTCTCTTAAAAATAACTGCACAGTTCATATGTGGAAGGGTTGTAAGGTATGATGAGATTTCATTTTCTATCAATATATCACTAGTTCTACTATCTCGGCAGAAATAGTCTTCAAAATCTCTGAAAAAGGAAATATAGGACCTTTACTTCTTCATTAGAGAGAAAGATGGGTTAAGCTATTAGACTCCCTAGAGAAAGAGAAAGTAGAATATTTATTCCTTTAAGAGAAGCTGAGGGAGGAATATGCACAAGAAGCAAATCTATGCCTAATCCATAAACTGAACAACTGTAGTTTGGCACATCAATTGTATTGTGCTTTATTAAAAGTATAGTTGGGTTATTATAACGTGGCTTCAGAATGAATTTCCACCATCTTCCCACCTCCAATTATGACAATATGTTGGTGAAAATCTTATTTAGTATTCATTATGATAACTTCTAGTGACCAGAGATTATTTTATCATTTAATTTTCCCTTTCAAATTGGCTTTTCTTATTTGAAAAAGCTAAAACTTTGCAGAATTCAAAAGATGATGCAAAGTTCATTAGAACTGAATAGTAGATTATGAGGAAAAAATCTGCAAATGAAATAAAAATCATGATGGATAGACATACCAAGAGAAGAAGAAATTTTGATGAATTCCACAAAGCTTAAACTCCATTTTGTTATATGTACATATATAATATACATATAATATGTATCTCTAAAATGAAACTACAGTCTGCTTGGGAACAGGGACCATGCCTTATATCTCCTTTGTATAGTCTATGCTGAACACATGGCAGGTGCTCAAAAACTTGCTTAACTGAGTTTAAAATCACTTGGCGAATGAGTTAGCTACTTTATATTAATTCTTAAATACATATTAACCATTGAAATTGGATTTATTCTATTAGTTAAAAATGAAGACATTCACATTAGTATAATGATATTACCTGTAAGGATAGCCGTGGTACTTGGAACGAAATATTGAAAGTAGAAAACTGAAGAAGAAGACCACCAGGCCTAATCCCACTAGGCAAATTACTAGGAAGAGACAGAAAATACCATTAGTGCCTAGACACATGCAACCGAAATGTTTATATTTTTTAAATGCATTCAATTAATTACAGTATACTCACATTTAACAGTTCAAGGCACTTACAGGTACAACAAACCAGATAATCCAAAATACAATGTATTCACTATTTTCCACATTCTTCTCAATGAAAATGTACTATTTGGGGTATGAAAACAACAAGTGACTGATCTAAGGCTTCTGGTGGTTTTCTTCTCTTACAGAGTTCCTACAAGTACTAAAATGCCCCAGAGGGATCAAAACAAAACAAAATATGTGATACACCACAAATAAGATCATCAGCCCCAGCATTAGGAAGCATTGGCTACATTAGCAGAGACATTTGCATTATTAGAATGCTAAATATAATTTTATTCTTTTCAGATGCCACACAATATTTACCAAGAAATATCATTTTAGATTATTGGCTAGATTATTGCTTCAGTGAAACTCTGTTACTTAGAAATAGTTCATCCTAGTGTACAGAAGGCTAGGAATAAAAGCTTGGAGAGTGAGAGAATATGGACTCTGTGGGAGCCAAATGGGGAGAAAAATCCCCCTAAATAACAGGTAATAGTGTCAAAGTATTATTGCTGTTTGTTTTACAAAAGAACAGAGGGCATATGCTACAGTAGAATGTGCTATGCTGTGCTCTAGGTTTTCAGTGTTACTCTGTCCCAGGCAAGCTGACAATAGGGAAATTACTTTTTTTTTCTTTTCCTAAAAATAAAATATATATACAAATATACATTTTTATAATATATATTTATAATAAGATATTACTATAAATACATTTATATATTTATAACATATATCTTTAGCATATAAAATATATATTTGCACATATATTTTAGATATTTAATTGAACAAGATTCACTGCTATTATTAGTAAAATAAATCTAAACATGTTTATAAAATTTAAATGCTTAAAAATCTGAGCCAATTAAATGCAGCTATGTTTAGAATGAAATAAAACACATACATTTAAAGAAACTGAAATTTATGTAGATTTGTTCTGTAAATAAGTGGAAATTAGAGTTATCTCTTAATAAGAAATATCTAAACATTTCTGAAGAATTAAACATTTGCACAATACTTGTATCCTTTCGTTAGTTTCAGGGAGTTCTTTAAAAACACTGAAAAATATCCAAAATAATTAATTATAAAAGAAAGGGGAAGACAAGAGAAAAGAGATTAAATACACTAAGGCAGAAGAAGACAAGGAAAATTAAACAGTTCCGTATATCTCTATAATGATGAAATATAATTTAAAAAAAATCTTCTGGCATCTAAATGAGACCAGGTTTAATTAAATCCTGGAAATTAGGGAGTAGATAAGATATGGCATTGTCAACATATGGGTTAGAAATCCATCAGTGAGTTTTCATTCAGCTCTGTACGAATATCATTCTCAGTTTTGAGCACAAATTGTGGAAAGTCATAAGTGCTTAATAGCATTCAATTGCAGCCTCTGTGATATTTCATTTCAGACAACACTCATGCAGTTGAACTTCAAATGAATACTGGCAGAAAATAAAGCAAAAAATAGGTTGTGGAATATCACAAAATGAAAAACACCTTTTTTTTTTTAAATTGTAGAATATTCAATTCAGGCACTAGATACAGCATATTAACAACTCCGCTTACAATCTTACTAAACCTAGAGTTAATTATATGATGCTTTACTTGATACTTTCCCACATTTGGTATTTTCACTCAACACTTCATTCTTTCCTCTCTCTCCCCTTTTTAAAAAAAATTTTTCAGAAGCCAAATAAAACACTCTTCATTCTCTTTGCCACTTTTAGTAGCTCATTTGGTTGTGGTCAATGGGAAATGAGGCTCGTGATACATGACAAGTAAAACAGAATCTATTTAACTGATTCTAGGCAGTGCAACAAAATAACGCTACTCAAGTACCATTGTGCATATGGGGAAGGGAGAGGAATCGAGTGAAGGGTCAGTAACCACTAAATGAACCACTATAGCCCACACAAGATAACATACTTTGAAGAAGAAAACACTATGACGACACAGCATTCTGACCTAGGCAATAATAATCACAGTAGTTGTATTATATCAAAAATAAAAATCACACTAGAATCAAAAAGCAATAATTTAAAGATATATTTCCTTTTTCTCTCTCACATACACGCACGCACACACACACACACACACACACAAGTAAATAACCTGGCAGTGGGTGGGGGTTGCAGTGGTAAATACAGAAATACCTACCAAGAGGAAAGTTGGAAGCAGTGCTTTTATAATATCATAGAGATTGTGAGATTAAAAAATTACTACATATTTCTTTCTTACTTATACAACAGGATATATGACAAATATATAATCACATAAGAATTTGTCCTCATAAACATTATTTGTCAATCCCCAAAACATCACATGTTTATTCAAAAGACATATCATAAAATGATATTCTGAACAGTGCCTAACTAAACAAAGTAATGTGTTCATTTCTTCTGTGGTTTCTTTACAATGGTCTGTAGACAGCATCATGGGAAAACAGAGGGTAGACTACACTGTATATTACATCCAAAACAGTTCGACACTTGAGACACCTAAGTATTTAGAAGTCACTATGATTTACTTACCTACATGCCTCTCTAGTGAAAATTCCATAAAGAAAATAAGTCTAGATTTTTATTTTAAACTTAATAAATTATTAGTCTTTTTCAGATACCCACGCTCCTCATACATAAATTCTGGGCTTTGAAAAGGGTTCAGAAATGCAAAACACATTGAGAACAAAGTTACTTATAGGTTTGTGGAAGTATAATCATAAAATCACATAGGGATTTGATATTAATTATAAAAATGTATGAGGCAGAAAATACTGAATTTAAGGCCCTCCATCCGTTTCTAACCTATGTTCTTCAGGGCAGAAGATTTCTCCTATGTGCTCTTACCTTTTTCTGCCCAAATTTGTTATTTTACAAAAATGTATTTCTTCCTACAATCCCCTGAGACAAACAGTTCCATCAAAGGACAAGACACAGCTTGCTTAAAAACATAATGCTGGAACTTGGTGGGGCTGTAAATCTTGGAATATCATTGGAAAAGGCAAAGACCCTGGAAAAGATAGTATCAAGAGATGCCTTCTTTTTAAATGTTGATAAAAGGAGGTCTGGAGGTAATTGGAAGGTATTATAATATTTTAGCGTACAAAATGTATGTGAAAACTTCTCTGCCTGAGTCAGTCCTTGAATGCATACCTGATTCTTGCGGCATAGGGAACATATCAAATGCCAACAAAATCTTGAAGACTCTGCCCACAGAATTTTCCATCTCTCCCTGTGGGGTGGATGTCACTACAGAGAGACCAGCTTTAGTAGAGATGGTCAGTGTCCCCCTGACAAGGGTGAATAACAGCTCTCATTTATACGCAATTCCACAAAAAAAATCACCTATTTCTGTTTTGGAAGAAATATATTTTTAAGTACTTGCAAACACATCCAAGAAATAGAAGAAAATAAAAAAACACCACAACCTTCCTTAAACCAGAACACTTCTTCAGAAGTTTGTTTACAAAGCACTTTTACATATTTTCCATTTGATTTAAATGAATCTTAAGACTAAAACAAAATTACAAAAATAGCAACAGAGAGACTTACTCCGTCTTTTTCCAACATCTCCTTTGGATGTTGCCGCTTCATTTAGGAGAACCATCCCCATGGTGATAGCAGCATCTATAGCAGTTGTCAAGGAAACAGTAGAAATAGATGCAAATAAAATCTATTAATTTTTCTGGATCTGAACACAATGTGTTCCATTCCAGAATGGTTAAATTACAAATGCACACAGAGGTAAATACAATTTAGTCTCTTTATTTAACATAAAACTGCAATTCTTTATGTATTTAAATATGCCTTAATTTTTAAAATATATAACCTGAAACTTCAACTTGTGATATTTTGAAAGTCTAATTCTAAATGCTCTTAAGTTCCAGGAGGTTCATAGCGCATATGAATTATATGAACTCCCAAAACCAGTTATGACATTTCACATTATGCATCAAGATATGCACTAGTTACAGTCACAGTGATACATTTCATTGGCAATCATGGAAAATTAGAATATATTAGCATGATTACCCCCCATTTTCACAGTGAGTGTTTATGTGCATAGCTTTCTTTTTCTTGACTTCTAATGTGTTGTTTCATAGACTATTTTTTTTAAGAAATCTTTATTAAGGTCAAGTATTGTTACTTGGCAATTTTTTGGTATTCAATTACAAGCCTTACAAAAGCAAACAAGCACATTATAATAAAACAGTCTAACGGCCTTAGCAGGATCTTGATCTATTCAGTTAATTGACATTTTAAGAATGAGAATACAAAATTACTTCCATACTTCATGTCTGCTTGGGTGTAGTCATGCCATGCTGAAAGAACCTAAGGTTTAAGAGAATGATGGGACTTTTCACCTTTATAAGAACATTCTTGGCCATGTTAATAAAACATTTTCGATATGGACTAATGTTAAAATTTAAGAACTCATCAATTCTGGAAATATATTTATTAAGTATTCTGCCCAAATGACTAATGGATTAAAAAGTGAAAAAAATAATTTTAGTCCAAAAATTCCTCCATTTGCTTAAGTAATTTTATTATGATTTCCTTGTGTTCATTTCCACTGCTGTATGTGTAGGACCAGCATCAATCAGTCTCCTGTGCAGGATGTCTCTACAAAGTGCCTTCTATTCCAAATAGAGAAAGCTCAAAGGATGTTGTCTGGCTGTATCTGTACAATCAAGTGGAGGAGCTCAGATGAAATTCTGCAGAGTAAATATTTCCAGTCTGTTTTCTGGCTAGAAATAACCAGAAATAATAAGTAATAATAGTATTTATATTTGAGTCTGTCTGCATGACCATGTTATCCAACTTCTGGATAATAATAAATGTCTGACTTCTCCAGTTAGGCATTCACGTTTACACTGAGCTCTCTGCACAAATGGTTTTCAATCTATTCTATTTATTTATAGCAACCCCTTATGGAACCCTTTCTGGAGGAAAAAAACCAACCAACCAACCAATCTTGGTTGGAAGCCTAATGTATACAAGAGAAAAAGCCGCTACCAGCCCTACGCAATACTAACCCCCAGCCACCTTGCCCAACACACATATCTACCATATAGTACCACTGAACTTTTAGGGATCCATGATACACAGTTTGAAAACCACTGAAATTTAGATAATTACTGAATTCCTTAAGTTTCACTCATGTAGTGACGGCCTGAAAAGGATGATGTGAGAGAATGAATGTTTCATACCACCAGTATGACAGTCTGTGGACTTCAAGGATTCCTTATTCTTAAGGTGTTTTGGACAATCTACTGACATAAATGCCCCCAAGTCCATAGTCATAGGGCATTGCTAATAATAAAATGATGGAAAACAAATTAAAGGCTTGTATCACTCAAACTGTTCACATGTAGGGAATTTCTACTGCTTAACTTAGTTCACTGGAGCAGACTAATGTGAATGATATAGATCCTCAATAAGGAGTTAAATTAGGTTTCCCCATTCATCATTCTCTGGTAACACCCTTTAATATTCATGTATAAATTTTAATCCACACATTTAAATATACATATTAGATCTACTGAAAATTCATATAGAATTAACAGATTATTTTAACTGACAAAATATTTTTTGCAAATATTCAAAATATAAATGACATTTAAAAATGATTTTTATGTAGATATCATATACAAAACAAATACTCATTTTAATACCTCCATTTGCTAGGCAGCTTCTAAAATTCCATTAATAAAATCATGGAGAAAATGGCACTATTTGTATTTCTGGGGAAAATAAGGTTTACAAAATTAAATCCTTTAAAATTTTAATGAGAGTAAACCATATATGAAAATGTTCTCAAGGTAAAATTTTATACACACAAACACCCGTGTGCACAAATGTATGTGTTTTAAACACACATACATAGACAAGATCTCAGGGAAAAGTACATTTCATTGGATATTAACTATGTCACCCAAGAGTACCTCATCCCTATTAATATATCTTCATGTCATTTTTACTATTCTCCCTTTGTAAATTGTTACAATGTGAAAACTATATGAGCAACAATTCTCATTGGAATTGCTTTAAAATTTCACACAAATTCAAACAATGTTGTGACAGAACATTATGTATAGGATTTTCATAAGAGTATACCACATTTTATTGCTTTATCTTACTGATGAGCAACTGTTTCCAAATGTTTGCTATTACAAATATTCCCACAAAGAATATCTTTTTACATGTAGGTGTACAGTTATTTTCTCTAGCGTCTACACATAGAGGTAGAGTTTTTGACAGGCTGTGCATGTGTATTTTCAAATTTACTAGGTACAATCATACTGTATTTTTCTTACATCTCACCAATATAGTACTGCCAAACTACTGATTTTATCAAACTGATGCATGGGGATCTATATTAATAGTGAGTCTGAGCATCTTTTCATCTGTTCATTATTCTTTTTTTGTTTAATCTTTTGTATACTGCTTGTTTATTTTTATTTTTTTCCCATTTTCCCATAAGCATATTTACCTTTTTTTTTTTTAATTTGTAGAATGCCTCATTTTTTTCTGGATATGAATTGATTGAAGTGTTGCATACAGATTCTCCTACTTTATGTGTTATTGTTTATCTACTTATCTACTTATTTAATAGTAATAACCAACATTTATTTACCCCAACTATGTGCAGGCAACTGGGCTAAGAACTTTACATGGATTCCTCTCCCTAAGCCCCTTAAAAATGCTGTGAGGGGGACACTGTTTTATTCTTATTTATAAATAGGAATAACGAAACTTACAGAGGTTAAATAACTGGGACAGAGTGTTAATTCTGGAGCCAGACTTCAAGCCCAGGCTATCTGAGTCCAAAGCCTGTTGGCTCTTAACTATTTTGCAATAGAAGCCCTCTCTCTTTTTTTTTTAACTGAATATAGTTGACATATAACATTGTGTAAATTTAAGATGTGCAACATGTTACTTTGCTACATATACATATTGTAATATGATTGCCATAGTAGTGATAGCACCTCTATCCCATTATATAATTATCCTTTCTTTTCAGTGGATAGAATAATCAAGTTCTAGTGTCTTAGCAAGTTTGATGATTATAGTACGATACTGTTGTCTATATTCATTATACTGTGTATTAGATCTCTGGCTTATTTGCTACCTGTTCTAAGTTTGTACCTTAAACAACATCTGTCTTATCTCCCAACCCCCTACTCCCTGGTAACCATTATTTTACTCTCTGTTTTTACAAATTTGGCTTTTTTAGATTCCACATATAATTCATATCATACAGTACGTGTCTTTCTCTGACTTATCTCACTTAGCATAATGTGCTCAAGGTCCATTCATGTTGTTGCAAATAGACGATGCCCTTCTTTCTCTTGGCTGAATAACGTTCCACTGTATATATCTACATCTACCTCACATTTTCTTTATCCATTCATCTATCAGTGGACACTTAGGTTGTTTCCATATCTTGGTTATTGTAAATAATGCTGCAGTGAACACAGGGGTGCATGTATCTTTTCGAATTATTGTTTTCATTTTCTTCGGATAAATACCCAGAAGTGGAATTGCAGGATCACACAGTAGCTCTATTTTTAATTTTTGAAGAACCTCCATACTGTTTTCTATGGTGGGTGTACCAATTTACATCCCTACTAATGGTTCCCTTTTTTCTACATCCTTGCCAACACTTATTTGTTGTCTTTTTGATAGATAATAGTCATTCTAATAGGTGCAAGGTGATAACCTATTGTGGTTTTGATTTGCATTTCCCTGATGATTAGCGATGTCGAGCATCTTTTCACGTATCTGTTAGCTATTTGGATGTCTTCTTCGTAAAAATGTCTATTTAGCTCTTCTGTCCATTTTTATTTCGATTGCTGTTTTTTTTGTTATGAGGTTGCATGAGTTCTTATTTTGGATATTAACCCTTATCCAACATATGGTTTGCAAAAGTTTTCTCCCATTCTGTAGGTTGCCTTTTCATTTTGTTGATTGTTTCTTTTGCCACGTAGAAGCTTTTAAGTTTGGTGTAGTCCCCTTTGCTGACTTTCTGCTTTTGTTGTTTGTGTTTTTGTGACATATCCAAAGAATCATTGCCAAGACCAACGTCTAGGTGCTTCTTCCCTGTGTTTTCTTCTAGGAGTTTTATAGTATCAGCTCTTATGTTGGTCTTTGGTCCATTTTGAGTTAATTTTTGTGAGTGGGATACGATAGGGGTCCAATTTCATTGATCTGCATGAGTTTATCCTGTTTTCCCAATACCACTTGTTGAAGGGACTATTGTTTCCCCAATGAATGCTCTTAGCTCCCTTATTGAATATCAATTGACCTAATAAGCAGGGGTTTATTTTGGGGCTGTCTATTCTGCTCCATTGGTCTATATGTCCATTTTTGTGCCAGTATCCCATACTGTTTTTATTACTATAGCCTTGTAGTATAATTTGAAATCTGGGAGTATGATACCTCTGGCTTCGTTCTTTTTCCTCAGGATTGCTTTGGTTATTCAGGGTCTTTTGTGGTTCCATACAAATTTTATGATCGTTTTTTCTATTTCCGTGAAAAATATGCCTTTAATATCTTGATGGGGATTGTGTTAAATGTGTAGATGGCTTTGGGGAGTAGACATTTTTAACAACATTAATTCTTCT